AGATACCTCAAAATACGAAGAATCGCTGCCCAATGAACTATAGTAGGAGAAACAACAAACTGACTAACAACATGAACAACATATGCAATATCTGGACGAGTAATAGTGAGATATACCAAGCTCCCAATAATAGTACGGTATAAAGTAGGATCTGACAAAAGTAAACCATCAGAAGAAGAATACTTTGCGTTAACCTCAATGGGAGTATCTACAGTCTTATTATCAGTAAGTCTAGCTCCCTCAAGAATATCTGCGACATATTTCGATTGAGAAAGAAGATAACCTCTAGGTGAGCAGGCTACCTCAATACCCAAGAAATATCGTAGAGAACCCAAATCCTTCATTTCAAACTGTCTACCTAAATCTGTCTTCAAAACTGAAATACCATTAATATCATCACTAGTAATAATTATGTCATCAACATATAAAGACAGAATGATACGACCTGCATCAGTGCACTTAACAAAAAGAATAGAATCATGACTACTGGAAGTAAACCCAAGGGAAGAGATCACAACAGAAAATTTCTCAAATCAAGCACGAGGTGCTTGTTTGAGACCATATAACACTTTCTTGAGCATGCAAACATACCTAGAATCATGTGAAACACCAGGAGGGGGAGCCATATAAACTTCTTCTTGAAGATCCCCATTCAAGAAGGCATTTTAACATCAAGTTGAGATATATGCCACTGACGAACCGAAGCAACTGCAATAAGAGTACGAATAGTAGTCATTTTTGCAACAGGAGCAAATGTCTCCTCATAATCCATACCATACTGTTGAGAGTACCTTTTTGCAACCAACCTAGCTTTGTATCGCTCAATAGATCCATCAGAATTGGTCTTAATCTTATACACCCAACGAGAAACAACAACACTCTTACCAGGAGGTAGAGGAACCAAATTCCAAGTACCTGTCTAATGCAAAGAAGAAAGTTCATCATCCATAGCTTGCTACCAAAGAGGGTCAAGAATTGCCTCTTTATAGGAAGAGGGCTTAGAGAGACAATGAATAGAAGGTAAAAAGGAAGTAAAAGATGAAGAATAACAAGAATAAGTAAAATCTGGTAACTTTGTGGACTTACGAATGCGTGTGGATTGACGTAGAGGTGGATCCGCAATCTCAGATGGAGCTTGAGGGACCATAGGAGAGGAGGTAGCTTCAGGTGTGCTAGAGAGTAAAGTGTCAGTACCTGTAGAATGATCAGTGCTGGTATTTGAAGTACTAGAAACCTGAGATGACAAACTATTAGAATCCTCAAAAAAAGGATCTATACGAATAAGATTAGATCTAGTCAAGCTATAAGTAGTGGATGGAATAGAAAAGAAAGGTATATGCTCAAAAAAAACAACATGACGAGACAGATAAAGTTTTTGAGTTATTGGATTAAAACAACGATACCCTTTTTTACCTTCACCATAACCAAGAAAGACACAAATAGCAGATCGAGAGGACAGCTTGTTGCGTTCAACATGATGACGAAGAACGAAACAAGTACAACCAAAAACTCTAAATGAAGAATAATTAGGGACATACCCATACAACTTTTCAAAAGGAGAAACACCTGAAATATGAGAAGATGAAATTGTATTAATCAAACCTACAGCAGTAAGAACAGCTTCACCCCAAAACTCACTAGGAACAGAAGAAGACAACACGAGAGAACGAGTAGTTTCAACAATGTGCCTATGTTTTTTTTCAGCAACACTATTTTGCTCAGGAGTATTTGTACAAGAAGTTTGGTGAATAGTTTCATCTAAGGCAAGCAACTCATCAAATTTATTAGAAGTGTATTCCCCACCCAAATCACACCTAAAACATTTGATAACAGCAGAATGTTGAGTTTTGACAAGAGCTCGAAAGACTGTATATATCTCAAAGAATTCAGAACAATATTTCATTAAATAAATCCAACAATAACGAGTATGATCATCAATAAAAGAAACATAATATCGAGACCCTCCTTTTGTGGCAACAGGAGAAGGTCCTCATACATCAGAATGAATCAAATCAAATGGAGAAGAAGAAACATAAATACTTCAATTAAAAGGTAAAGTTAAAAATTTTGTCAGTTTACATCCACTACAATCAGAAATATCACAAGTTTGCAAATTTCTTAAAGCCCCTGTAGATGCCAAAAATCTCAAACGAGAAGACGAAACACGACTTAAAGGAGAATTCCATAAATAAAAACTAGAAGAAGAAGGACTTAAACGAAAAGAAGATAAATTAACACTAGTAGCAACGGCAGCGGCAGCAGCAGCAGCAGCAACCGACACTTTTAACTCATCCAAAATATATAGTCGCCCCTTCCTACGGCTTGTCCCAATCAGCTTCTGAGACTGCAGATCCTGCACATAACAAGAAGAAGAGGAAAAGGTGACTAAATTTCCAGAATTACATAACTGACCAACAGAAGTAAGATTTAATGTGAGTTTTGGAATATGATAAACATTAGGGAGAGATAAGTGAGGTGTGACAACAGAACCAACACCTGCTAAAGGCATAGGAGTGCCATCATCAGTCATAACATGAATACAAGATGAAGGAGATATAGAAGCAAAGATGAAGAATTTGGAGACATATGATGTGAAGCACCAGAATCCAAGACCCATACAGAATGTGACATACCTGGAGAACTATGAGGCAACTGACCTCCTGAAGAAGAAACAGACATAGCTTGTGGCTGTAAGGAGAGAAACTTCTGAAATTGCTCAGCCAAAGTACTAAAATCGGTGAAAGGACCTGATAAAACTACTGCAGCAGTATTAGACTGTGGTGGTTTGTAACCCTGAGGTGGTCTAGGAGCATTAGATTGTGATTAGTTGCCAGATTTCCAAGCTTGAGATTGCTGCTGCGATTGATTCTGCTGTCTTAACTTAGGACATTGAGCTTTCCAATGACCTTTCTGCTTACAGAAACTGCACTCGTCGAAGGCAGGCTTTGTGTAAGGCTTATTTTGATTATGAGAGAATGGTTTAGAAGGTATTGCTAGCACAGAAGGATTAGAAGTAGAAAGAATTCCCTTGTCAGAATAAGACTTAAGATGTATCTCTTCAGCCAATAACTCACTGACAACTGAGTGAACAGAAGGAAGTGGAGAACGATGCAAAATTGAACCTCTAAGTCCTTTAAAACCACTACGAAGTGCCATTAAAACTGTACCAACCGTTACTGCTCTCTACGAGCAATATAGGCACCACATGCCTTTAATTCAGCCAATTCTGTAAGAGCCAATTGATCCCAAAGATCTGTCATAACAGAATAAAATTCCTGAATACTCATATTCTTCTGCTGAAGAGCTCGTATGTCATGCTCCAATTGATACTGTTTTGCAAAATTTGATTGAGTGAATAACTTTTGCAGATGATCCCAAACCTCCTTTGCTGTCTCATACTTTGTCAAGCGTACCTATAGAATGCTCAACAGAATTGTTGATCTAAGTAATAATTTTTGCATTGTCTGCTTCCTAGACATCTATCAAATCAGCATAACCCGCATTAGTATTCTTAGATTTCACAGAAGTTCCACTAACATATCCCCATACCTTTTTACCCTTAAGAAAATTTCTCATCACATAACTCCAATACGAATAATTTTTCCCATCCAACCTCACACTCACAGACTAAAGCGAATCATCCCTTGTAGTAGCCATAATCAACAAACAAAGAAAACCAGATTGCAAAAAAACGAAACAAATACCAGATTGCAAAAACAGAACAAATACCAGAAAAGAGGAGGATAGGGTTTTATTGATATTGCATAATTCAATTGAATACAAGGAAGTAAATTTACCTAAATACAAAGAGACTATATATAAGCTAAATAAGACAGGAAAAGTAAAGGACTATTCTACCCTTAATAAACAAAATAACCCTATATTTCTTAACAAAAATATCTTCATATTATGTGTTTGGATTGTGTCATTGTGAGGTGTTGTTGGCTTTGTGGCACTGAGTGGATGCGATTTGTGGTCTTATGTTGGACCGGAGAAAGAGAGTTTTGAATAAGGGACTGAATTAGCTGCATGGTTTGGACTGGCTCTTGGCCATGAATATTCTGTCAACTTAACCAACTAAAAAGGCCTCAATATTTTTTGCACTGCCAGAGACAATACTGCTGTGATTTTATATCTTAATCAATTGCATTTTTTCGGGCTGTTCTTGTGAGGTTGGTTCAAATCACTAGTTTATGGGCATATCTCCTTCTGCTTGCTAGGCTTGATGAGAGCCATGACAGTACAATTGCCTGTAATGAGGCATTCTGTCTTAAACTACTGGACTTCATCAAAGGCTGATTATTATGTGCTAAATTGTCTGCTAGATTGCTAATGCCGCTGAACTCTGATCACGGATAAATTATCAGAAGTAGCCTGGTCAGCACTGCACCTAATTTATGAGATGAAGCAAGATACAAGTCATTCTGGTAAACTGAATCATCTTCAAGAGAATAGCTAGTTAGCACTTGGAATTAAGCTGACAAATTGTTTATTGGTTCCAAAGTGTCAAGGTAGCATGTTGATGATAGTAGTTTAGGCTGAAATTCGGGAGAGGCAAGAAGGCATCAACAGATAATATGTTGAGCTTGACACTGACTGGTTGAGGGCTTTGTCTCGGTTTATGGTTATTTCCTTTTGCATTTTTCTCACCACGATGATTTTGTAGGCTTTTCCCCCTTATAATGACAGTTACTTCTTTGGTTGTACGGAAAAACAAGGAAGACTGTGAATATGCATGCCATTGGGGAATTATTTGCCTTGTGCTGTGCATTTGCTTGTTTTATCTATTAAACTGAGAATACTTTTTCAACCAGGAACTTATAATGACCTTCAGGAACTAAAGAAAGAAGATGTGAAGGTCAAGGTTGAAGAGAGGCAGTATTCTCCAAATAAGTGGAGAGCGTGCTAAAGAGCAAGAACAGAAGAATGATTAGTGGCATTGTGTTGAGACAAACAGTTGCAAGTTCCTCCTAAGCTTTGGGTTGCCAGAGAATGCAAAGATGGATCAGGAGAATGCGTGCATGGCGAATAGAGAGCTCGCTGTGGCTACGCCTGTAGAGGAAGTGAAGCAGCCCGAGGTAAAGGTTATTGAGATCTCTGGTTAATACAAACACTCTTCCATGTTTTCTGTTTTTCATATCATATGGTCAAATGAACAATAGAAAATCTGTGTGCGCCTAGTATAGGATAGGTAAATAAACTTGTAACAGGCTTGGGCTAGGGATGGACCAACTTTCCTTGCCCAGGCCCAGCATATTGGCTGCAATTTTTAATTTTTTGTATTTTGAAAACTATTCATATATAACTACATATATATTTTTGGTATATACAAAACTACATATGTTTTAAAGCATTTTAATTATTTAAAAAACTGTTATACTTAAAAATGTATAATACAAATACAAAGTACATATTTTGGGACATTATTTAGGGTCAAACAGATCCAACACAGAGGCCATGGATTTTGGCCCATGCCCAACCTACGAGCCTTATTCTTAGCCCATTCCCCTATTGTGCAAGCTTGTATCGGAACAGTTTTTCGCTTTTCCTCGCTTTGAAACCAGCTTTCCCGAGTCCCAGTTTAAACAATGTGGGTCAGCCCATATGGACGATGAAGTATAGGCAGTTGAATTTACGATAAATCATGTACTCAGAAAAAATAATGTATTAGACAAGATTACGAATAATGTATTACGATAAATCTTTAGGAATTATTATTTTTTTTTTCGCTGGTTGTGTCCTTAGGAATTCAGCATTGGCTTTTGGTCCTTAAATATTGAGTCTATTTGGAGTTGGCTGATTTGGTAAGTTTTGGAGTAAAATAAATTAGATTCATTTGGACCTTGGCTTATGAATCAGTTTATGTAACAGTTTTTTAGACCTAGAAATAGCGGCATTAATCGAGCCGAGTTTTACAAGCTGGAGATGGAGCTTATTTTTTTAAACGAGTCTAAAAAATTATTTAAATTTGACTTATTTAGAACCCGAGCCGAATTTGTGTAGCTCGACTATTTTATATACAAATGACCTGAGTTTTGCGAGTTTGAATCGAGTTTTTTTATACTCGTTTTTTTGAACAAGCTTAAAAAAATGTTCAAGTTCAACTCATTTAAAACCCGAGTAAAGCTTGAGTCGAGTTTTATTCGAGTCGAACTTAAATAGCTTGTTTCGATTAACATCCCTATCTAAAAGGATTTATTTTGGCTAATTTAAAAAGTTGATTTTATGAGATTTTTTGTTTTTATTTTTTTGAGTTTTATTGGGGGTACTACATGACTTTTTTGTTTGTCATATTTATAAAATATTACTAATAACGGAAAAGATTATTTTTTTATTTTAACATAAAAAACTAAAAAAAATTAAAAAAACCAATCAAAATTACTTGCCTGTATTGTGGACGATGGGAGTATAGGCAGTATAAAGCATCAATGAATGCTTTTTACCTGTTGAAAAAGTAATAATAATAATATATGCTGATGAAGAAGGTAGAAGCGTATAGAAGATGAGACGATAAGGAGGGACCCACGAGAAACCAGAACCCTCTTCTTCTCTTTTGTTTAAATTATTATTATTATCTTACATCGAGCAAAATCCAGACTCTTCTTCTTCTCACTATAAATATGCTTCGCAAACTCTCAATTTCATCATCCAGTTGTAGTTCAAGTCTCTCTTTATTTGTGTTCATTCGCTAATACCTTTTTAGTTTTCAGTTACCTTAATCATCCAAAAAAAAAACAATGTCGCTCATTCCAAGCTTCGGTGGTCGACGAACCAATGTCTTCGATCCCTTCTCTCTCGACATTTTCGATCCATTCGATGGATTCTTCAACTCCACACTCGCCAACTATCCTTCTTCTGCAGCACGCGAAACCTCGGCATTCGCCAACACGAGGATTGATTGGAAAGAGACACCGGAAGCTCACGTTTTCAAAGCCGATCTTCCGGGCCTGAAGAAAGAGGAAGTGAAAGTCGAGGTCGAAGAGGGTAGGGTTCTCCAGATCAGTGGAGAGAGAAGCAAGGAACAAGAGGAGAAGAACGATAAGTGGCACCGCGTGGAGAGAAGCAGTGGGAAGTTTCTGAGGAGGTTCCGGTTGCCGGAGAATTCAAAGATGGATGAGGTGAAAGCCAGCATGGAGAATGGAGTGCTGACTGTGACTGTGCCTAAGGTGGAGGTGGAGAAGAAGCAGGAGGCCAAGACCATTGAGATCTCTGGTTAATAATTAATGGTGTTCCGAACACTTTGTGTTGATGATTTTCTACGTTAAAGTTGTACTAAATAAATGAGATGTTTGTGTGGTGTGTCCATCTGTGTGAGGGTTCAAGGAGTTTGTGAAAGATGATCTTGTAAGTGATTTTATGTTGAATGTGAGTGTTTATCTTTTGAGTTGTTCAATGTTTTTCTCTTGAAAAATTTACATTAGCAAATGTGCATTTATTTAATTTATTGATCTAATTTATTATAATTATTAGATTAATTATAGGTTTTATTAAATATTAAAATTTGGTATTAATTTAACATCATAAATATTTTAATCTCGATGTAAATGACCTGTTTTTGACCAAATTTATAAAAAAAATTAATCGAGATGTGCATAATTTAGTCCATACATTTTTAATCGTTAAACCAAAAAAATAAAAAATAAAAATAAAAAATAAAATTACATAATCCAGCTCTGACAATAGTATTACTTTAGTCGAGACGCTAATAGTATTACTTTTTACCTAATCCAGCTCCGACAAGAATAAAACAATCTTTCTAATACTTTATAGAGACTGAAAAAAATATTTTTAACTTGCTCTATGTTAAAATTATTTGTCATGGCAATCGCAAACTTTTATATAGACAAGCCCGTCAAAAAATTTATAATTGACTTTGATGATGCACAAAAATAGTTTTGCACACCACTTGTCAAGTATAGGTAATAAATGCAGTGAAATCAATGAAAAAATTAAAGAAGACACGATTTATAGTGGTTCGGTCAATTAATTCAGAGGTATGGAGAATAGAGATACAAGCTTTGAGAAAATGGAGAATCAAAGAAAGAGTGGTCTCCGGTCGTCGGTCTGTCCTCTGTAAGTGTTGGTGGGGCGTGACCTTCCTCCCTCTCTCCTAACAGATTGAGGCTACTTTATAGCAGCTAAGAGATCATTCTTGTGGAGATCATGACTTATCCTCAAGGCTACTTTATCACAGCTAAGAGATCATTCTGGTGGAGATCATGACTTATCCTCAAGGCTACTTTATAGCACTAAAAGATCATACTGGTGGAGATTACGACTTATCCTCAACGGAAGGAGGAGGTTGGGGAGCTCTTCATGAAACGTGGTCAAAGCTTGGACTGTTTCCTTCGGTGGTGCAGATAAGCTTCTCATGCTCTTCTCTTGATGACGTGCTAAGCAAAAAGTCTAACCGGTCTTGGACTGTCTTGGGCTTGGTAGATTCAAAATGAGGTTGGGCTCCTCAACTGGAGTTAGACTTTAACACATAAATTGGACTATTTTGGCTTAACCCATCATTTGCCCCTCAATGCTCCATGTCCAATGAGACTTGGAGAAGGAGGCATTGACTATATTATTATTATTATTCATTTTTTTTTAAACTTCAAGTCTTTCCCACTTTATTTTGAAGAGGGTCCATAATATTCTATTTGACCTTTTTATTTTGAAAATGACTTATAACTTTCTATTTGACCACTTTATTTTGAAGAAGGCCCATAATTTTCTATTTGGGCTTTTTCCCTCTTTTTGAAAAATCCTAGACTATAAATATAGTCTTCTTCTTCTTCATGTTACCCATTTCACTCATTTTTAAGGTTGAGCACCCACCTCTTGAAAACCTTGAAAACTCAAGTCCTACCCATTTTGTTGAAACCAAAGTGTGTTCTCCTTGAATCCTTTCAAGAGTGTGATTTCTTCCTTGCTAGTTGAACTTCTCAAATAAACAATGTCGATTGAAGAGGGAGTGGTGGAGGTTGAAGAAATGGAGGAAGTAGGCACTATTTTGGAGAACTTAGAGGCTGATTTTGAGCATTCGAATGCTGTTTTGGACAGCTTTGGGGCTGTAAATGAAGGGCTGGACAGCGAAGGAGAGATGGGCAGCGCGAGGAGTGGCTTGGGCAGCGAAGGAAAACGGCTGGGCGTGCCACTGGATAGCCCATGCGCGCTGGGCGCGCGACTGGGCAGCGCAGGCGCGTGGCTGCGCAGTGCAGGCGCGCAGCTGGACAGCTCGCGCGCTAGCGGTGGGGGGCTGGGCGGCTGCCTGGGCTCTGCTCCTCCTGTCCTGGACAGCCCAAGTGCGCTGGGCAGCAGCCTGGCTGCTGCTTCTGCTGTCTCGGACAGCTCAGCTGCGTTGGGCAGCTTTAGTTCTGCTGCGCTGGACGGCTTTGGAACGCTGGGTAGCAGTATTTTTCCATCAAGGGGCGCTAAAAATCAGTCCAAGGTTCATCAGGGAGAGCTAGGCAGTGGCCTGGGAGCACGGGCTGATCCGATTCCCACTCGAGGTGCTGATTTGGGCGCCTTAGGTGCTGATTTTTACGCCAAAAATTCTGCTTTGCGTAATTTTGAAGGGTCGGGCACCCTTCAAGCTACTGGGCAACTTTGTTTTGATGAGCAACAACAGTTAGACACACTTCTAGGCATTGGGCTAGACATTGCAAGTAGTAAGGAAGCTTTGAGTGCTGCTCTTGATGATCAAGCCCTTCTCCAGGTGCTGGGCGCCTCGGGTGAGCCTGGGGCTGCCTCAGGAGAACCTGCTTGTGATGACAAAAATAATGTTATTTCACACATTAAAATATCTCACATAATTACCTGAAGAGAGAGAAGTAGGCTGCTTGCACGAGAGCAAAGAAAGAGTTGGAGAACCGCTCGTGAGAGAGCTACACTTTTTGAGACCTAGCTTTTGGCGACCCATGAGAGAGTCTTTAAGCTTGAGGTATAAGCTGCCTGTTTGAGAACAGTGCAGAGGCCAAGCTTTTTTGACGACCCCCAAGAGAGCCGCTAAGCTAGAGATAGACTGCCTGACAGTGTAGAGGCCAAGTTTTTTTTTTTGGCGACCCGTGAGAGAGCCGCTGGAGATAGGCTGCCTGTTTGAGAACAGTGCAGAGACCAAGTTTTTTTTTTTTGGCGACCCATGAGAGAGCCGCTAAGCTGGAGATAGGCTGCCTGTTTGAGAACAGTGCAGAGGTCAAGTTTTTTGTTTTTTTTTTTTGGCGACCCGTGAGAGAGCCGCTAAACTGGAGATAGACTGTCTGTTTGAGAACAGTGCAGAGGCCAAGTTTTTTGGCGACCCGTGAGAGAGCCGCTAAACTGGAGATAGGCTGCCTGTTTGAGAACAGTGCAGATGCTAAGTTTTTTTGGCGATCCCTGAGAGAGCCGCTAAACTGGAGATAGGCTGTCTGTTTGAGAACAGTGCAGAGGCCAAGTTTTTTTTTTGGCAACCTGTGAGAGAACCGCTAAGCTGGAGATAGGCTGCCTGTTTGAGAACAGTGCAGAGGCAGGTCAAGTTTCTGGTGATCTGTGAGATGATTCACCTTGCCTAAACTTGTTGATTTCCTCAGCATTCATATATCTTTGAGCTTTTGTGAATAGTTCGGACATGCTCTTTGGTGGTTGCTTTATTACTAAAAAAAGAAATCTGGATGAGCAGAGGCCTCCCAGGAAGGCAGTCATGGCGACTTTGTCATTGGGTTCCTCGATTTGGAGGACTTCCTCGTTAAAACGAGTGAGGTAACTCCTTAGACTCTCATTACGATCTTGTTTTATGCTGAGCAGATGGATGACAGACTGCTGCTGACGGCGTCCAGCAATGAATTGTGTCACAAAGGATCTGCTTAGTTTGGCGAAGGAGCCTATGGAGGCTGGGGTGAGTTTGGCGAACCATTGTTGCGCTGATCCCTTCAAGGTAATTGGGAATGTCCTACACATAATTTCGTCGGGGACGCTGTGTAGTTGCATCATGGTCTTAAAAGTTTCGAGGTGATCAAGTGGGTCCTTCGTACCGTCAAAGGTTTCAACGGATGACATTTTAAACTTCTTGGGAAGTGGGTAGTTCGTCACGTTAGGTACGAAAGGGTGTGTTGGTTTAACTTACGAGGCAGTCCACTGTCTCGGGTCTCTGTGCTTTCATAGTGTTGAAAATGTCGTCTAGTTGATTTTGTACCTCTTTTATTTTTTCGTCCCAGTGGTTGGGAGCTCTTTTGGAATTATCTTGGAAATGACTTCCATGCTCCATGCTCTGGTTCTCACCCTTGTCCTCTTGGAAAAGAAAGCCCCCACCATGAGAAAAGGGAGCTGGAAGAGGAGGTGGAGGTCCCCCGTGGGGAGCTCCCCTATGAAGGGCACCCAAGGGAACTCCAAAGGGGGCGCCCAAATAGGGAGCAACAAGTTGTGGAGCTGCTTGATGTGCAGGGCGTGGAGCTGCTTGATTTGCAGGGCGTGGAGCTGCTTGATGTGCAGGGCGTGGAGCTGCTTGATGTGCAGGGCGTGGAGCAACTTGATGTGCAGGGCGTGGAACTCTTTGATGTGCAGGGCGTGGAGCTCCTTGGGGTGCTCCATCTCCGTCAACAAGTTGTGGAGCTGCTTGATGTGCAAGGTGTGGAGCTCTTTTATGTCCAGGACGTGGAGCTCCTTGGGGTGCTCCTCCTTGGGGTCCTCCATATTGTGCACCTCCGTCAACAAGTTGTGGAGCTGCTTGATGTGCAAGGTGTGGAGCTCTTTTATGTCCAGGACGTGGAGCTCCTTGGGGTGCTCCATGTTGTGCACCTCCGAGTGGTGCACCTCCGAGTGGTGCTCCTCCTTGAGGTCCTCCATGTTGTGCACCTCCAAGTGGTGCTCCTCCTTGGGGTCCTCCATGTTGTGCACCTCCGAGTGGTGCTTCTCCTTGTCCAGCAAGTATGAGTTGTAGTAATTGTTGGTTTTGAGCAACCAGTTGTTGCATGGCCTCCAACATTTGCTGGGGATTCGGAGCTAGAGTATTCGGGACAGAGTTGGTAGGCGGGGGAGCAATCTCTTCCTCTCGTGGAGGATTGTCTTCAGGTTGGTTCATGGATCGGGTAGTGATCGCCATTAGTTCAATGGATGTAATGTTCAGGAGTGAGAATTTTGTCGTTTCCCACAGACGGCGTCAAACTGATGATGCACAAAAATGGTTTTGCACACCACCTGTCAAGTGTAGGTAATAAATGCAGTGAAATCAATGAAAAAATTAAAGAAGACACGATTTATAGTGGTTCGGTCAATTCGACCTACGTCCACTCTTCAATGGCTTCAGTTGCCGGGTATTTTATTAATTCAGAGGTATGGAGAATAGAGATACAAGCTTTGAGAGAATGGAGAATCAAAGAAGGAGTGGTCTCCGGTCGTCGGTCTGTCCTCTGTAAGTGTTGGTGGGGCGTGACCTTCCTCCCTCT